ACTTACTTTGAAAGAAGTAGTTCTCCTCCAGGAACTTTGTTTTTGTGGCTGCCATTTTAAACCTTTTGCGCAGACCACAAAAACAAAGTTTTTTCAGTTTAATAAACTTTCCCCATGTTTTTATGGTAGAACCAATTAGGAAATGACATTTATAACCTAGGAGCAAAAATCATATTACATAGTGTAATCCCTGGATGCGTGTTATAACTTGAATGTTACTTCCTGGCAGAATGGGGTTGGACTAGATGGCCTTTGGGATCCCTTCCAACTCTAGGATTCTTTGATTCTATGGTAGTGTTTCTCTACCTTCCTAATGCTGCGACCCCTTAATAGAGTTCCTCATGTTGTAGTGACCCCCAACCATAAAATATGTTTGTTGCTACTTCATAACTGTAATTTTGCTACTGTAGAATCATAGAATCAAAGAGTTGGAATGCAATATTCCTGCCAAGAAGCAGGAATATTGCATTCAAATCACCCCTGACAGATGGTCATCCAGCCTCTGTTTAAAAGCTTCCAAAGAAGGCGCCTCCACCACACTCTGGAGCAGAGAGTTCCACTGCTGAACGGCTCTTACAGCTCCCCATCCCCTCAAGCAAATGTTGTGAATTGTAGTGTAAATATCTGATATGTAGGATGTATTTTCATTCACTGGACCAAATTTGGCACAGATACCCGATACTCTGAAATTTGAATTCTAGTGGGGTTGGGGGGGGGATTGATTTTGTCATTTGGGAGCTGTAGTTGCTGGGATTTATAGTTCACTTACAATCAAAGAGCATTCTGAACTCCACCAACAATGGAATTGGACCGATCTTGGCACACAGAACTCCCATGACCAACAGAAAATACTACAAGGGTTTGGTGGGCAATGATCTTGAAATTTGGAGTTGTAGTTCACTGACATCCAGAGAGCATTGTGGACTCAAACAATGATCGATCTGGACCAAACTTGGCACGAATACTCAAATGTGAACACTGGTAGGGTTTGGGGAAAATAGACCTTGTCATTTGGAAGTTGTAGTTACTGGGATGCATAGTTCACCTACAATTAAAGAGCATTCTGAACCCAACCAACGATAGAATTGGGCCAAACTTCCCACAGAGAACCCCTATGACCAACAGAAAATACTGTATTTTCTGATGGCCTTCGGTGACCCCTCTGACACCCCCTGGCGACCCCTCCAGGGGTCCCGACCCCCAGGTTGAGAAACGCTGTTCTATGGAATCTTTTCCTCTTACAAAGCTTTTCCTTACTCGTTTTCCTCTTCTAGAAGGCACAGACATTGATCTCTTCAGTCCTTGTTATCTTCCTATTCTGGTTTCCCTGGAAACTCCCCTCACACCTCTCTTGCTTGCTCTTGGGACCCCGCTTGAGTGTCATGCCCTGTCATTAGCCAGCCTTCGGAAGTGGAAATCACGCCCCAATGGGAAAACGACAAGGAAAGGCAGGCTGAAAACAATTGGCAACAAGAGCCCAAAGCTTCTTTACCTCTCTTTCCATTTCCAGTTCATAGACCATGAAGTGGAGGAGGCCTGCTTGCCATGACTTTGCTTTGGGAGCATTCATGCTCCAAGGCAGATGAGGCCCTTTGAGATTAGGAATCTAAACACATAATAAAAGTGAAAATGTGTGTATGTATGTGTCTATGTGGTGGAGGTGTCGACTTACAGAGACAGCCTCCTGCCCCCACAAACATTCAGAGTTTCTCAACCTTCCTAATGCTGTGACCCCTTAATACAGTTCCTCATGTTGTGGTGACCCCGAACCATAACATTATTTTTGTTGCTACTTCATAACTGTAATTTTGCTATTGCTATGAATTGTAATGTCAATATCCCATATGCAGATGTGTTTTCATTCACTGGACCAAATTTGGCACAAATTTCTCAGCCTAAGGGCTGAGAAACTGCGGTATACAAATACAGTAAATAAATAAATAAATAAATATCCCATACGCCCAAATTTGAATAGTGATGGGGTTGGTGGGGCGTGTGTATGTGTGTGTGTGTGTGTGTGTGTGATTTTGTCATATGGAAGTTGTGGGATTTATAGTTTACCTACAATCAGAGCATTCTGAACCCCACCAAAGATGGAATTGAACCAAACTTGGCACAAAGAACTCCCATGACCAACAAAAAATACTGGAAGGGTTTGGCGGGCATTACCCTTGAGTTTGGGAGTTGTAGTTCACCTACATCCAGAGAGCACGGTGAACTCAAACAATGATGAATCTGGACCAAACTTGGCATGAATATTCCATATGCCCAAATGTGAACATTGGTGGAGTTTGGGGAAAATAGACTTTGACATTTGGGAATTGCGGTATCTGGGATTTATAGTTTACCTACAATCAAAGAGCATTCTGAACCCTACCAATGAAAGAATTGAGCTGAACTTCCCACACAGAACCCCCAGGACCAACAGAAAATACTGTGTTTTCTTATGGTATTTGGTAACTCTTCTAACACCCCGCTTGCGACCTCCTAGGGGTCCTGACTCCTAGGTTGAGAAACACTAGCTTAGCTAGAGTTGACTTGATGGGAGATAATAATATAATTTATTTATATTCCACTCTTCTCCCCTAGGGGGCTCAGAGCGGATTACAGCATTTACATACACAGGCAAACATTCAATGCCTTGACAATCATATACAATGAGACAGACAAACACAAACAAAGGCAGAGGCTTCTCCTTTTAGTTTCTGGCTTCTGGAGGCGGTGCTCATCTCTGGCTCTGGGGAGGTGTTTTTCTCCTCCATTTTCAAGCCAAGGAGTCTGTGTTGTTACCTCCTGGTTGTGTGGCCAGCAAGATGATGATGATGATGATGATGATGATGATGATGATGATGATGATGATGATAATAATAATACACTTTCTTTATAACCTGCCACCATCTCCCCAAAGGGGACTTGGGGCAGCTAACATGAGGCCAAGTCCAAAATAATACAACATAATAAACAGACAATAACAAAGTACATCATAACAAAATATGAAATAAAAAAATCAACAATATAAAACAGCATAGTCAAACCAGACACAGAGGGCAGGCCAAATGTATGAGGCAAAATGTTAAAAAGTTAAAAACCCTGGGTGAGATAGGGATAAAAGTGCATTTGTAGGAGAGAAGCCCAACAGGGAGGAATCATGGGGATTTGGCCATTTTAGGGGCGGGAAAATGCTTTATTCTGAGGGCAGCTGTAGGTGAAGACAACCAGATGGATTTGAAATCGAGGAGGAATTTAAAAGGGTCTTGCCCAGGAGAGACCCTGCGGACCCACCAAAGAGGGCTCGCTACAATGGTGAGCAAAGAGAAGCCGCAATTTAAAAGATTTCCTTAAGTTCCCAAAGAATCTCACCAAAGTTGAAGGAAGCGCCACCAAGATGATTTTATTGCGATCCAGCTGGAAAGGATGCAAAGCTGCAATAATTCGCCAAGCAAAGCATACAGAGTACAAAAAATAAAGTCTTTATATACATAAAACAGAGCTATCTGATTGGTTGGCGCTCTACATCTGGGAGGAGGCTTGGCCGCCTCCTGAGCGCCTTAACCAATGGGTGAGCTCATGCCACTTCGGCCTCCTAGCCAATCAGGAGAGAAGGAGGTGGGACGAGAGGGAAACAATGAGAACTGGAGTGGATTATGGAAATATGTGGTGTCCATGTGGTCGTCGAGTCCTCAGGGGGCCTAGCCAGCCAGCCTATTGTCTTTGATGGGTGGCAATAAATGTTGATGTCTGGCGAGGTGGCCTTGACCTGTTTTTTTCTTGAACTGAGATATGGAGACAATGGGGTAATCCTGGCTGTAGTTTTGGTGGGTGGAAGATAACTGAGAGAACAGATCAGAACAAATTGTGGCTTTCCGAAGGCCCCTTTTGTCCTGTTGAGATATGATCATCAATGCCAATGGGCTGCCTTCCACTGGGGGGACCAACTCTGAGCCCCAGGGTTACAGCCATTGTATTATTCATGCAAAAAGTGTCTTTGATAAGGTTCTTTTCAACAGAGGATTTCCTTCTTTCCGGGGTCACAGAGAGTGGCTTCTTACATTTTTATACATTTTTTTAAAAAGGGGATAGGGCAGAAGGGTCAGGTAAAGGTCAGATATACAGGGAAAAATATAGAAATCGTGGTGCAGAAAACATACCCACTTATCCCTCCCACCAGAGTACATAAGTTCAAGAGAGTACATAAGTGTGAAGGGAGGTGGTTTCTCAGTAATAAATGTGTTACCTTATGAAACCTAGGGCATAAAACCTTGATTAAATGTACACACTATCTAACATGGGAAGGGTCCTTGTTGTTGTTAGTGTCTTGGCAAATTGACCAAGGCTTAACCCTTATTATCCAGCCTGGTGTCCTTGTCCTTAGCAAAACTATAAGTTACTATCTTTTATGGAGGGGGGGGGGTCATGTCCGACTTCAGGTTGAGTGGTCATTCTCCAAAAGCACAATGGAAAAGCCAAATTTTTAAGTCTTTCTTAAGATTACTCGGAGTGTCTCTTAGCCTTTTCCCGCTGAAGCCATACCTATTTATCTACTCACATTTGCATGTTTTTTAACTGCTAGATTGGCAGGAGCAGGACGTTTCATCTATTCATACCTGTTGCAATAATTTATCTCTTTGGATTCGAGTTGCTGGCGGATTCGAGTTGCTAACCTTCAGATAAGCAGTTCAGCCAACCTTCAGGTCAGCAGTTCAGCAGCACAAGGGTTTAACACTTTGTGCCACCGCCACATAACGACGAATGATCAATGAAATGTTAGAGTTTGAGGTGTAAATTATCACTAGTGTCTTGTTCCAAAAATGCCAGAAATCTCAGGGAAAGTTTCATTTGGGAGGGACAGTTTTTTTCCTAGAAGGACAAGGCCCTCATTTCGCTGCCTAAAGCGGCTCCAAGGAGATTCCAGCAGAAGTTATGGAGAGTTGCACTTTGGCCTGTAGGCTTTGTTTATTTTCTCCCCACCCCTCTGCCTTTCAAGCAGCCATAGTGTGAAATTTGCTGCAACTCGGCAGAAGTATGGCTGGTGCTGGACCAGAAAAAGGCCTTGGGGATTTCCACCAGGGGAAAGGAGGCACTAAGTGACGTCTTTGTGAGCTCCAGAGAGGAACGGAGGCACACCTGCCTCATTTAGGAATCTCATTTAGGAGGAAGAGGCTAGTATTCTGGAGAAAAGCTGTTCCTCATTGGATCAAGCTAGAGCAGCCCCAGATTTATCCTTCAGTGCTTTCTAATCCGCTGAGCTGATCATGACAAAAGCTGCAAACCTTGTTGGAAGGAGACGCAGGTTCAAATCCTCATGCGCATCAAAAAGAGGACTTTGACCGGGTCACTTACCATCTCTGTCCCTCTAATCTCACAGGGACAGCAGGCTGAGAGAGAGTCAGGTATTTATTTATGCTCCCTGGTGGGGGGAAAACAGCATGTCAATAAATAAGTTGATGTCAATAAATAAGTCGACGTGGGGCCCAAGAATGGACAAACCGGGAAGAACAGTGATCCAAAACTGGATTCACACCATTGTTTACGTGATGCAGCCTCCTGCTTCCAGCTGTCAGGTGAGACAGGTTGCCATTGGCACTTCCTAGTGGGATGTTTCAGCGCAATATATGCACAACGAAGAAAATGATAGTTAGTTCCATCTGCTGTAGAAGCTGGTCCCAGGCTTTCCATGCGGAAAGGTGTGCTTAGCATGTTTTGTGTAGTCTAAGGGTTCCTTTCCTTTCCAGTGGACATATTTTTAATGTTCTTGATAATATAATTATAGATGAACGTTTGTAGTTTTAGCTGTATCTGTTTTGACTTTTGAATTATTATTTTTTATTTTGATATATGAAAAGCATATAAGTGTACATAATATTTCCAAGTAAAGAGGGGGAACAATTCAATTTAAGAAAAGTAGGAAATAATGAAAGGGGAGGGAGAGTAAAAAAGAAGAGAGAGAAAAAAGGTGATTCTAATTCTTTGCGGGTTTAACTTTGTAATCTGTTTGATCTTCCAGGTTATAGCAGATGTGAAGAGAGAAAAAGAATCAATTTTAAAAAGTGTCCAAATCCGGGGTCTTACCACTCTTGTGTCCCCTTTTATTGTATTATATGTCACCTGGTCACACCCAGTATTATTTTTAAATTTTTTAATTAGTACACTTGGCCCTGCCATAAGTTTTTAAACGTAGTTGTGTTATTGTTAATGTTTATTGCTATTTTCTGTTTTATGAGTTTTATTTATTGTTTGTATTACTGTTGCTATTGTTTTTATTGTTGTATTGTGGGCTCGGCCTCATGTAAGACGCACCGAGTCCCTTGGGGAGATGGTAGCGGGGTACAAATAAAGTTATTATTATTATTATTATTATTATTATTATTATTATTATTGGTTAATTTTCTTTTTTTCTTTTTTTCTATGTATATCTCCACTTGTGACCAGTCTGTTTGTTTAATCGGGTTACCCGTGTTCCTCTTTATTAAAAAAGGTTAATTTATCCATGTCTTTAATTTCATTTATGTTTGTTATCCATTGGTCTCTTTCCGGTATTTCCTTCTGTTTCCATATTTTCGCGTATACTATCCTAGTGGCTGTCGTTAAATACATAAACAGAATGTCTTCATTCAAGTCTAGTTTAATGTCCCCATCAGTAATTCCTAATAGGAAATACTCAGGTTTTTTGGAATTTTTTTTTAGATTTGTTGGCAGCCTTCATGAATTAATTTCCAGTATTTCTGAGCTTCCCTACAAGTCCACCAAAGGTGATAGAAGCTCCCTTCATGATCATTACATTTCCAACAGGTTTTTGAGGTATTTTTGTACATTTGATTTAACTTTTTTGGTGTAATGTACCACCGGTGGAACATTTTTAACCAATTTTCCTTTAAATCGGATGCGTATGTATAGTTTAATTTTTTGTTCCACATTAGTTCCCGATCTGCCAGCGATATCGATCTTCTAAAATTTTCTGACCACTTTAACATGCAATTTTTTATTACTTCCCCTTCTGTCGACCATACAAGTAGTTTAACATAAATGTTTGTTATGTTCTTTTTTTCTGTTCTGACTTTTATAAGCCACCTTAGATTCTACTTCTGGTGCTGTGTGTGTATATGCACACACAAATATATAAGAGGGTAATGGGGTTCTGTGTGGGAAATTAGGCCCAATTCTATTGTTGGTGTGGTTCAGAATGCTCTTTGATTGTAAGTGAACTATAAATCCGGGCAATTACAACTTCCAGGTGTCAAGGTCTATTTTCCCCAAACTCCACCAGTGTTCACATTTGGGCATATTGAGTATTCATGCCAAGTTTGGTCCACCATTGTTTAAATCCACAGTGCTCTCTGGATCTAGGTGAACTACAACTCCCAAACTCAAGGTCTGTGCCCACCTAACCCTTCCAGTATTTTCTGTTTGGTCAAGTTTGTGCCAAGTTTGGTTCAATTCCATCTTTGGTCATCTTCCTCTGGACACATTCCAGTTTGTCAACGTTTCCCTTCAATTGCTTTGCCCAGAACTGGACACAGTGCGATTCCAGGTATGGTCTGACCAAGGCAGAATAGAGGAGTAGCATGACTTCCCTGGATCTAGACACTAGACTTCTATTGATGCAGGCCGACATCCCATTGGATGTCTGTTGTTGTTCACACTTCAGAGCCTTTTGAGATGTAGCAGGATCTAACATTTTTGGCTCCTCATTGTCAAGCCCATCCTAAGTGGCAACTGGTGCTCTTCACATTATTTTTCCTTTCTCATTCTGTTTCGCTTGTGGCTTACAAACATCTTGCGTTGATTTTACCCTTATGCTGTAAACGTCTTTGTGAGCCACCTACAATTATACTGTCACTTCCCTCATCATGTACAATGATTTTCTTGTTTTTCAGGCAACTTCCTTAAAGCAAAAACGCTTTTGCTGAAGCAGCTTGGGAGACCTGCCTTGTAGTGGAATCCAAAAAGTGAAGAAATGCACAAGGTGTTGTGAGTGAACCAAAGGTGCCTTGGAACAAAAATCCCCTGAAAAGGCCAGAGCCAAAGCATAACACTCTGTCAGTGCATGGTTCCTCAGCCACTTCCCTTCCAAGAGATTCAGAGATGATTGGGGCCTGTTTGTTGCTCTTGCTTTTCAAATTGTGCCAGGTCTGCCTAGAAGAGGAACTGAAAATCCCCAAAGGTTTGGATGGCCTACAGGAAAGAAACCATTCTTGGGCCATAAGCAAAGACTGGAGGCAGCGACTGCCCCAGAGCATCATTATCGGGGTGCGGAAAGGGGGCACGAGAGCTCTGCTGGAGATGCTAAGCTTGCACCCCCAGGTGGCAGCTGCCCATTCGGAGGTCCATTTCTTCAACATGGAAGAGAATTACAGCAAAGGATTGGACTGGTACAGAGCACAGATGCCAGTTTCAAGCCCTGCTCAAATCACTGTGGAAAAGACGCCAGCTTATTTCTCTTCTCTGAAGGCTCCAGAAAGGATCCATGCTGTGGACAGCTCCATGAAGCTCCTTCTGATTGTCAGGGATCCCGTGGAAAGGCTCGTGTCGGATTACACCCAGATTCTCCACAACCGCAAGGCTCGCCACAAGCCTTTCCAGGCCCTGGAGCAGGTGTTGTGGAAAGGTCGAGAACTCAACACCCAGCACAAGGCCCTGCAACGCAGCCTCTATGCCCGGCACCTGGTCCAGTGGCTGGAGGTCTTCCCCCGGGCTCAGATCCACATTGTTGATGGAGGCAGCCTCATCCGGGAGCCACTCTCTGAAATGCGCCAAGTGGAGCACTTCTTGGGATTGCAACCCTTCTTAGGGCCAGGCAACTTCTACTTCAACCAGACCAAGGGGTTCTACTGCTTGCAGGCAAGGGGGCTTCAGCACTGCCTGGACCAGTCTAAAGGGCGGCCCCATCCAACAGTCGACGAGCTGCTCCTGGAGCAACTCTGCACCTACTTCAGCAAACACAACGAGGACTTCTTTGCTATGGTGGGACAGACATTCAACTGGTGCTGAGGCTTACTAGAGCATTCTAATACTGTAGTGACCAAGGAGAAAATGCCCATGAGCTCAGGAAAAGGACTGGCTCTAATCCTAGATGGGCCAAAAGTCACCAAGGGAGTTCAATACTTAATAATAATGTACTTTGGCACCCTCAGTAACATGCAGGTTACATATTGGGAAATCCCAAAGTATGAAGGACTTTTCAGTATAATCACCAGGCACTTTTCTCTGATCCACCATGTCCTATAGAGCTGTCTATCCTGAAGGTGCTATACTGAGGCTAAAGAAGAGTCAGCCAACAACTGCTCAGCAATTGTACGCTGGGCCCAAAGGAAAGGATAAAAAGCCATCTTCCTTTGGTATATAACTTTCTACATCTGAACACTGCGTGATTCTACTTGTCTTCAGCAGAGGGCAGTGTCTCTTCACAAGATAAAAGGGCTGTGGGTACTGGTCTTGTGCATTTATATAGAACAGTGGTTCCCAACCTTTTTTGACCAGGGACCACTCTCCAACATTAGTACCAAAAGGGTTAGAGATAGGTTTTTGGTCAACTTTTGATTCAGTTTGGTTATTTGGGGTGCTGATTCAGAAAATTGCATTGGATAGACCACATCAGCGCTAGTTTCTAATACAGAACATATGCCATCCAGTAGTCGCCATCAGCTCACCCTTAGAAAACCATATTAAATAAGCCTTGGCACTGTAAGAGGGTTGCATGAGACCAGTTGCTCTTGTTGCAAGGCAAGGCCACGGAACATATTTTGGTTCTTGCGGACCACTGGTGGTCCCTGGACCATAGATTGGGAACCCCTGAGATAGAATCACTGTTTCTGTTTGTTTCATTCATAAGGCCCCATTTTTGTTTTCGTGCACCTCTCCCGAAAATAGGCATCTTTCCAAATGAGCTTTTTCATCCCAGATCCAACAAAACCAATATTTTTGTCCCATTGGCGGCAATGGACGGGCTTCTCACACTCCCCTTCCCCTCAGCTTTAGGCACTGGTAAGCGTGGGTGCTTTTCTGGGCCTGCATGCAACACACGCTGTATGTGTGGTGTGCAGGAGAGTGCGTGTGTGGCTTGTGGGCCCAAAGCACCCGCACGGGCCTGCAACCGAATTCTGAAAATTAGGCCACCAAATGGTTACCATTCCCACTTTCCTTGCATTTCACTGATATTTTCATACCGGGGAGTTGCCATACGAATGAAACAGTATGAAAACACGAATTAAATGGCTAAAACATTTACTGGGGTGCTCCATAAGGAGCTACCTTTGCTGAATTGATCATTGTCACATAGGATCCACCCATTTGGGTGTCTTTCTGGGTACCCTCCCCTAATAGGAACAAATAAAGCTGCCTTATAGAGCCAGACCACTAGTCTACCCAGTTCTTACTGGCAGAGCCTTCCAGGATCACAGCCAGAATTTTGGTTAGAATGGGAATTTGGTTAGAATTCCAATTCTAACCAAAGATAGTAGTGCTTCTTTAATTAGAGCGTGTGACTTATTACTCTATTGACTTATTCTATAAGCTCAGGATATCAAGCTCTCATAACGCACAAAGCCAAGCAGAGACACTAAGACTTTGGTTGCAGCCCGTAGTATTTCTTCCATCACCGAAAATATGAAAAAGGACATTAAAATCTCACAGGCAATAATGGAAGTTGCTTCTGTCGAAATTCATTCATTTCGACCTGACCTCATTAAGCTTTTCATAGAAAATAGGAATACAATCTCATTAGTTGTGTGTTAAAGACTGAGCCTGCTGAAAGCCACATAAAAGATACACAGAAAGATGTTGAACTCATATTTAAATATAATGAGTACACATATTCCTCAGAAGTCCACCTTATGAAGATAGACCAAGTATTTTGACCCAATAAAATTGCCATTGCTAATCTTATACACAAACACAAAGTGACAATGTGATCATGCAGAATGAATCAGTGTGCTTGCTGGGAAGTACCAAAATCCATTCTCACTTTTCAGCTTTTAACAAAAATGGAGAAAAATCCTTCACTTCTTATTCACTCTGCCATATATAACCACATGAATTATTTGCTCTATGCCCTCTGGTGCGCAGCAGGTTAAACCACTGAGCTGCTGAACTTGCTGCCCAAAAGGTTGGTGGTTCGAATCTGGGGAGTGGGGTGAGCTCCTGCTGTTAGGTCCAGCTCTTGCCAACCTAGCAGTTTGAAAACATGCTCCTGAAAGGAAAAACAAAACAAAACAAAACCCACTCTGGCCTACTGCTGACAGCCTGAACTCTGACAACAGAGATTCCATCTGAACATTAGGAAGAACTTCCTGACTGTGAGAGCCGTTCAGCAGTGGAACTCTCTGCCCCGGAGTGTGGTGGAGGCTCCTTCTTTGGAGGCTTTTAAACAGAGGCTGGATGGCCATCTGTTGGGGGTGCTTTAAATACAGTTTTCCTGCTTCTTGGTAGGGGGTTGAACTGGATTGTCCATAAGGTCTCTTCCAACTCTGATTCTATGAAAGCCAAGCCAAACATTTTGATAACAGGAGAAGTATCATCTGCCTCCAAGATATTCATCAATCCAAGCCATCCAGTTAAATAGGAGTAACATTCCCAGTACTCTTCACCGTCACTGAAGTATGTTGTCAATACATTCTACACTTGCAGTAGGCATATTCTGCTCTTTATCATTGTGTAATTCAATCTTGTAGCGTGAAGAGATCTGAAAATAAAACAGTATACTAGGTACTGAGCACTTGTTTATCTTGTTTATCACATTCATGGCAATATAAATGTGGATCAGAACATTTCACCTCAAATCCTAGTCTATGTTCACAAAGCTATTGCATCTCACTCTTCGAGGATATTTCTTTGTCAACTTGAATGTAAAAGGATCTTTCTTAAAGGAGGAATTATAGAAATCTAAGCTAGTTATGGAAACTAGTAGGAACTGGAAAAAACAACTGCCACTTAACTCAAGCAGGCTTTTGTTTCCTGTTACACAGTGGTTCCAAACCTTTTTTTGACCAGGGACTACTTTGACCAGGGACCACTGCCCAACATTAGTACCAAAAGGGGTATTAATCCGTTTTTGGTCAAGTTTAGATTCAGTCTGGTTATTTGGGATGCTGATTCAGAAAATTGAACAGACCCCCTCAACTCTAGTTTCTGATATGGAACATATGCCATCCAGTAGTCGTAATCTGCTCGCCCACAGAAAACCATATTTAATAATCTAGAGCTGATGCAATTTTCTGAATCAGCACCCCAAATAACCCTGGACACAGGCCTAAAAACGAAGACACCAAGAATTTTTTTTTTGGTTGGGCTGTGTTATTATCCATGGATTTTGTTAACACTCATGTTAAAAAAAAGGGGGAGGGGGCTGAGGTTGAAAAAAAATACAAAAAGCAGAGTGCGAGATCCAAGGAACTGTCCCTGTCCCTAACAGTTTTAATTACTACTACTACTACTACTACAATTACTTTGGGGGACTAAATAGGGTCTTATAAAGGGCTGCTTTCCCATTACAGCTCTTGTGTTTGGCAATGGGAGCTAAAAATAACACTTTTTTGGGTGATTCTCCTTCTCTCTCTTGCTCCTGGTACATTATTTAAACGGTTGTGTTTATTCATATCATCATCTGATCACCATGCTCAATATATCTCATATGCATGGGGGTATTGGGGTAACGATACAAAAGGTTTGCTAAGGTAGACCCTCTTTCACTCAGACTCAGCCCCCCCCCCCCCCCCCCCCCCCCCCCCCCCCCCCCCCCGAATCAAAATCCTGGCTACGGGCCTGCATACAGCTTACCACCATGTCCAACAACAGGCAAGAGAAAGAGAAAACAAAGGTAACCATGAACGTGGCCAGATGAAAGTCTAAAATCTATGAAGTTTTATTTTAAAAATATTAATAGTATTTTAGGGCATTAAACTTTTTGACTGACCTTTTAACACTAGAATGACACACAAAAACAAGTTTTGTAAAAAATGGTTTTATCATTTCCATTTTTGTATAAAACACATGGGAGAAACCTAGCCAATCAACACACAAATTGCTGTCACATAACAAGGTACTTTTTTTTTGTCAAACTTTGAATCTAAATAACATACAAATGTTTTAAGTCTACAGTCAATTACCTATACTCTTCCATTTAACTATTTCTTTAAAAAAATTCCACATATCCCCATATTTCTTCTGTCCCAGTTACAGTACAATGACAGGGAGGAAGAGGACTGTTTACAATTCCTTTCTATGCAGTTTTCTGCTGTCCCTTCTTTCCAATCAGAGACTTGTGGATGTGAGGAATTACACCTGAAAAGAGAATAACAGATTAGAATCAGGGCAAGAATTAATATTCAAATTTATGTCTGTATTTACTTGCATGCAACCTTATGCATTGTTTTACAAGCATATTCACTCCCTTTTGACTTTTTCCTCATTTTATATGTAGTGCTACAACCCAGAATTAAAATAGATTTAACTGTCTTTTATACTACCTAATGTTCACAATTAAGAACATTAGGAGCCCCTGGTAGTGTAGCGGGTTAAACCACTGAGCTACTGAACTTGCTACCAAAAGGTCGGTGGTTCGAATCCAGGGAATGGGGTGAGCTCCCAATGTTAGGTCCAGCTTCTGCCAACCTAGCAGTTCAAAAACATGCAAATGTGAGTAGATCAATAGGTGCCACTTCAGCGGGAAGGTAACTGCATTCCATGCAGTCATGCTAACCACATGATCTTGGCGGTATTTACGGACAATGCCATCTCTTCGGCTTAGAAATGGAGATGAGCACCAACCCACAGAGTCAGACATGACTAGACTTCATGTAAAAGAGAAGCTTTACCTTTATGTTCACAACATCTTTAATATTTTACACCTTTAATGTTTAATTATTTTGTTTACTTCAAATGCTAATAATGCCAATTAAATCCATTTCAATTCCAGGATGTAACACAATAAAATCTAGGATTAATTATTTCTGCAAATGACTGAACAAACCTCAAAGCACATTTTGCAGACTCTAAGCTCTCAGTTCTTTCAATTATGCTGTAACAAAGTTTTCTCTTCAACACATAGCAACCCACAAAGCTGAAACTGAATGTTTAGCATTTAATGGATGCCACATAACCTTTTCCTTCGGTGGGAAAATCTGGATTTCTTCTAAGCACAGGATGTATTTGAAATGTCTAGTTAAGGTAATATACAGTCGGGCCCTCCATACCCACAGATTCTGCATCCATGAATTTGATCATCCATGGCTTAAAAATATGTTTAAAAATCCAAAAACGGAAATATTGGTTTTGCTATTTTATATAAGGGGCACCAATTTACTATGCCACTGTATGTACTACTACTAATAATACTTAAGCATCTACAGATTTTGGTATCCACAGGGTCGTGGAACAAAATACCAGCAGATACCAAGAGCCCACTGTGTACCATTGTGAAACAAACAAATGCTTAATAAATTAGCATATTTCAAAAGAGAAAACACCATGTTCAGTGAGCATTCCAACAAAGATAAAAGCTCAGACTTCACTATTATCAAAGATCATTCCACGTGAGTGAAATAAAAACCTCTATTAATAAGAATGTTCATATTTTCTTATCATAGACGGAATGGTAGAACTTTGCTGCAGCTTTGAACATAGTTGCTTGGTCAGCCACTTGTGTAATATTCTCTTAAGCCCAAAAAGCATTTTCTACATAAGAAAAAAGTGACAGAATGGCATGAGGCTATTAATGGCAGGCTATTATAGAAAGAAGCTTACCTGTTATATGTCCTGGTAGGTTTTTTCCCTTTACTAAACAACTGACTGTACCTCATTCTTTGCAACTTTTATACCAATCTAGCCATCCCAGAAGTTCAAAACCTACTTACCTCCACCAGCAATGGTAGCTTTAATAAGGGAATCCAATTCCTCATCACCACGAATAGCAAGCTGCAAATGACGAGGAGTGATACGTTTTACCTTGAGATCCTTGGAGGCGTTGCCTGCCAATTCCAAAACCTGTTGAAAAATTTACACTTCTTATTAAATATTTTCAATATTTATAGTTTAAACATTTCCTCCCTAATGTCTACAAATTTGCAAGGTCTCAATGTTGAAAACCGCTTTGAGTCCCCTCCCCCCCAGGGTGAGAAAAGCAGTATACAAATGAAGTAAATAAATAAATAAATAAATAAATAAAAATTCTGCATGGACGAACATGACCATATATTTATGTCAGGGGGGAAATTCCAAGATTTTTAAATGATGATAGACATATGTGTAATATCATTGTAGTAACTTACTGACTGAAATAGTCTGGCCTGTTCAGGTTTCAACAATTATAATCCACTACTAGAACCGTCCTTCTCAAAGGGGACTTGGGGTGGATCACAGAACACACACATGGCAAACATTCAATGACGTTAGACATACAGGACAGAGAGATAGGGGTATGTGTTGGCACCTTTCCCACTCCGGCTTCCTGGAGGTTATGCTTAATTCCGTCCACAGGGGGTGCTGTCGCTCCATCCTCTATGACAAGCCTTTTGTTTTATGGTGCTGTAAAATACCTCCTCGCTTAAGCAGTGTCTAATTTCTTTACTCACAGCTGTTTTCGAACTGCTTAGGTGGACAGTAAGCTAGGCTAAAGGTCAGGTGGTCACTCTAATCCAGGCTTGAACTGCCAACCTTTCGGTTGGGAAAGATCTATTGCTGCTGGTGATTAACCAGCTGTGCTAAAGCCAATGTGCTCAAAACAGGAAAAAGCTATTTTCAGATTAATTGGTGACCACAAATACCTACTCTTTCTCTCTAAAATGAATGAAAGTTTGTGCAGTTTTTTTATATTTATCTCTTCTCTCACCTACTCCATAATACATAGTTCAGAATCTCAAGCTGGAGAGGAATTTAAATAAATAAGATTTGTTTCTGCACATAATACGCACTTAGGCACACCCCTCCCCCCCAGGCCAGTTGAAAAACATACTAAACATCAAACAACTACCGCAATAGAGAGATTTTTAAGCAAGCAATGTGAGCTAGGTTATGTCACCCTACATACAAAAAATAATAATGTTCAAGCCCAGAGATTACATTCAAATCTTGGTCTGTCAAGAATGTTTTATGAAACTTACCTCAGCAGTGAGGTATTCGAGAATTGCAGCACTGTACACAGCAGCTGTAGCACCAACTCGTCCGTGGCTCGTAGTACGAGTCTTCAAGTGTCTATGAATACGGCCCACTGGGAACTGTAAGTAAAAGGACCTGCTCAACATGCACCATCTAAACCAATTGTGAGAGACTGCTCAATACAAGCAATAACAACAACAATCAAAACAATTAAAATAAAGCTCATAAACAAAAAAGCAATAAACAATGACAGTAATAAAACACACATTTAAAATCTACCGCTGGGCCAAATGTAATTAAAATTTTAAAAAATAATGCTAGGCATGAACAAGATAGGAGAGATGGGGCGTTGGTGAGAGTGTACAAATAATCCTAAATCAGTGTAAAGTGCATTTAGAGGACATAATGCTGAAAGTTCATTATTCTGGGAAGGCACACTGGAACAACCACGTTTTCAGGCTCCTCCTAAAGACTGCCAGAGTTGGGGCATGCCTAGTGTCCTTGGGAAGTGAGATCCAGAGTTGAGGGGCTGTGACATGAATGTAGTTTGACACAATTTCAACTGCCCTAATTCATTGCTATGTGATCCTGGGAGCTGTAGTTTTACAATGTCTTTAGCCTTCTCTGTCAAAGAATACTGCTGCCGCACCAAACTACAAATCCCAGCATTGCAAAGCATTGAGCCCGAGCAATTGGAAGTGGCGTCAGATATGGTGAAGAGATACAGGGATGACAATGAAGATATTGATAGGAAGAAAAAGAAAAGAGGGTGGAAAGATCGATAAGAAAAAAGAGGAAAGGGGTTTGAAACTCATAGGAAGAAAAGGGAAAAGGGGTTTGGAGAGATATTGGTAGTAAGAAAAAGGAAAGTGGGTGCGGAGATGCAGACACACTTTGGCTCAGCATTAAGATCTCCTGGCAGGGAGGAAGGAGAGAATCCTATCCATAACTATGGGTTGTTCTTCACTCAGAGACTGCCTGTATTGGAGAAAACAGTATTGGTCACCATAAAATCTCTCATAAATAGAAAAAATATTCAAGCACTCTATAAACTTATGACAGGACAGCAAGTTTCATATAGTATATGGAAAAAGTATATTCATGTCAGTTCTAATTACAGGAACACTTGAACAGAAACTTTTGGCCCACATCTGGGTATGGTGGGGTACAAAAGACAAGCAATCACATGTGAAATAATAAATTAAACCTGCCTGGAGTCCAGCTCTTTGTGAGCGAGACACTGCCTTTGCCTTGGCCTTCCCACTGTCTTTGCCAGCCTTGCCTCCAGCCTAAAGAAAAAAAACAAGAGATGAGTTGGATACACTGCTTAACTAACACAGGTGACAGTAGAAAAACAATCCCCAAAGTCATAGTTCCGGGAAGTATGTAAACCTTTCTGCTTTTACTGACTCTTCATAGAAATATCCAAATCTAGGTATCACTTTCCCTATTACAACAAGAACATGCAAGCAAAAACACTTCAGAGTATTCAAAGATTACCTATTTATATCTGCTTACAAGCAAAGTCAAACCACAATTCTATATGTGCTTAATAAGATACTTCCTTTTAGCCCCAGATAATTAGGATTATACAGGTTGAGTAACCTTTATCCAGAAATTCAAAATTTTCCAAAATACCAATGGATGGCTGAGATAGTAGCAACTTTGTTTTCAACAGTTCAATGTACACAAACTTTATTTCATGCACAAAAATGTAAATCAAATTATTTTCAGGCTATGTGTATAAGATATATATGAAATATAAAAGATATTTTTGTTTAGAGCTGGGTGCTGAAATATTGCAATTGTTATATATAAATATATTATAAAATCTAAAACACTTCTGGTCCTAAGCATTTCAGAGAAGTGATACTCTTGCCTGTTCTATTAGCTATATTTAAACCTCCCTTAATTTTAATGGCATCTTTTATTACAAAAAATAAAATGATATATTGTTTAATACTATATGCAGCTTACACATGTTCCCAAGACAATATATAATAAACTAAAATACAGTTTCCTGAGTAAGCATACATTTATATTCCGATCCATTATTGGTTTAACTGGTTTGTCTAGAATATACATGCTTAATACTTGAACAAAACTGAGTTATGCATTAAACTACCATATACATAGCTGTTGGGTTAAAATCCAGTCCAAAAATATCTCATGAAAACTCTCCTGTTTCCACTACTTATAAACAACGGAAACTCAAAATGATTAAATATTTAAACATACGTGTGCCTTATATCTAGAATTGCCTTGGAAAGCAATAAACTCACAGGTGTGGACCACCTGTTTTCTATATGTACTGACTGAATGTAGTTTATATACAAAAAACTTCTATACAAATTACAATGCAATACACCCTCTTAGCCTCAGAGGAAAACAAAGACAACCTCCCTCTGAACAAATCACACCAAGAAAACCCTGTCAGAAGTTGAAAATGAATTGAAAGCACCCAAAGATATTATCAGTGTTAGAACTGTATCACTCAAATAGACTGATTGATAAGCCAGCACTCATATCAGCCACACAGATAATCCAGTTTTCTAAACTATTCATTAGGGTTGGATAGGTTCGTTCAGAAAAGCCTGAAAGTCATAAAAAACTTCCGACTTTTGAAGCAGTTTTGAACCACGCAGGAAAGGCGGTAGGGGCAAATCTGAATTTGAACCACTTACTTTTTTAAAAAAATATTCTATAATGTTCAGATGTCTCCCAAGGTTACTTTAATTTTCACAACCATTAAGCAACTTTGGTAAAGCCTAAAAAGGTTTAAAATCTCATGCTATCCTGCTCCCAGTGATGCAAGGGAGGGATGAGGTGGGCGTGGCTAAGCACAGCCATTGTTGTAGTTTATGAAGGCCAGGCCCCCAATGGTAGAGATTGCAAAAGGCCCTGCTGTTAAACTACATTTCCCACACTGCCTTGCTGCTCATTAGCCAAAATGGCTGAAGGACCCCTATGGCTGTCTGTAGCAGTCTTTGTCTAAATATAAAATAAACTGAATGAATCTACAAAGGTGTCTAAAGAAGGCGGCAAAGCAATAAGCAACTTTTGCAAGGCCAAGAGAACATAAACTGCTTAAAAACCAATCATTTCACTTTGGCCTGATTGTCATGAACATGGCATTGGGGCAGCAGCCAGGCAAAGCCAGCCAGTCCATCATAGAAGGAGAGCCTCCATGACTCCCTAGATCTTCCTTTTTGGCAAAACATGTGCCTTGGCTCTCCATGCCCTGCCTGCCGATGTTTACCACTATTTGCCACCATTTGCCATAATTTTTCCTTTTTGCCATTTTTCCCTGGCAGGCATCGAATTCGCGACCTCCCAGTTCTGGGAGTGGTGCGCTCTCTCAGGGAGTCACCGACCGACCGGTAGCAATAGCAATTCGAAACTTATTCACTTTCCAGTGGGAAACTTGTTCTTTTTTTCTCTCTAGCGAGGCTGTTCCAGCCCCAATTCTTCCAAAACTTGAAGACATTCCTTCCTTCATTCCTTTCTTTAGAGTCCCCTAGGATTGATGCACTGGGGAGTCTGGCTTGCTAAGGTACTTTGGGAAACTACATCTCTCGTGTATATAAAATTGCCCCAAAAGTTCTGTGTTTTTCCTATGTGTTTCTATGTGCCCATGTGTTATGTTGTCTTATTGTCTTGTCCTCCCGAGACCCCATTTCCTTACCTTTGGCAGGAAAGCCACTGCCAGCCCAGCCCTTTACATCAGTAATGATAAAATAATAAAATGATTGATTGCATCTGCAAATAGGAATAAACAGATGGATGTGTCTTGAGGGTCCCCTCCAACTCAGTAGAGGAAGCAAATTGATGTCAGGAGAGTTTGGATGGTGCCTTTCTGCCCAGAAGAAGGGGGTCAGTCTAGATGTTCCTTGATGGGGTCTGTACTACAATTTCTGTTCCTCACCAGTTTAACACAGTTTGTGACACACAAAATTTCTAGAGTAGAACAACAACTTTCAAAGTAAAGACCACTCAATGAAACAGGAAATAACACAAACCAGGAACAGATTTTCTTTATTATTAAATTTTGTAAAATAATATTCACAAAAAATCCATGGATAAGTAAAGGGTTATGAAATTTGGTGAACTAACAGTGGTCCGTGTGTTCTACCACTGTAGCAAGTTTCATCAGGATGGTGTAAAAATGAGGGAGGGAGAATCCCCTGAAGTTTCCCCAGTGCCAGTGCTGTTTTTTTTCTACTGCACATGAGTTTCTGCCACTAAAGAAGCAATTTGGAAGTTTCTGAAAGTTTTGATTTTTTTTAAAATTGGAAGTGACTTTAGAATCAAACTACCAATGTCCCATACATCCGAAACGAGTTTTGAGCCATTTTTATCAACCAAGCCTACTTATTCATATTATGGGTTTCAGCACTGGGAGCTATCCTTCATCTATTGATATAGAAGATGCAAAAGTGTTACAAATACCCTTGGTAGCACTACAGGTATTTTGTTAGAGAGTAATTACTTGAAATGCAAACTGTTCTATGCTTTCAAAATAGAGTACATACTGCAGTGGTTGCTCTGAAGTAAAGTGTACATAAAATAAAGTAAAAATACTCAACAGTATAAATAGTTGCTACTTGGGAACTGCTTATACTTACTACAGCGATTAAAAATATTTGCATTGTATCACAAAAATAGGATTTTTGAATCAACCAATATAACATATACTATTAACTGGTAATCTGAATAAATATTGTCAAGACTTACAAACTGCTAACATAGTTCAAGTTTACAGATATAGATTATTACACCAAAGACAGGTGTAGTCTATTGTCTTATAGATACAGTAGTACCAACTTTGATTGGCAACCCTTTCTGTACTCCACCCTAAGTTCTTAAATATTGAAATGATTACAGAACAAGTAGTCCTGCAAGACTCTCTAGGAATTGTTCCTAGGACTATATTTATAAAATGAAAAAAAGTGAAGTCAACAAGCATAAAAACCCACCAGGACAGTAAACACAAAACCATGTTAACCATGTTTGTTTGGGGTTTTTTTGCATGCTAGTGACCCTTTCTTAGAATTCAATCAAGTCAGAAAACCAAGAAACTTTGAACTTGCATAATACACAGAGTAGAGGCTGAAGCAGAACCATAAAATGAAACTTTAATAGTTTTAACTGATACATAATGTATAGAGATCTCAATGCTAATTTATTAGAATAGTTAGTGTTGGAAGTTTGTTGTTCAAATACTTGTAGTAAAAAGGTCTATCTACCATTCAATTACAAAAAAGTACGCAAGTATACCGTCTATCTTTATTAACTGCTCTGTGACCATAATACATCATGTAAGTATGCAACTTTGAACAAATGAGCTACATTTGATTTTTCATACAAAGATAACAATTATCACTTTCTGCATGTCATTCAAGGATATGAGCAGGAGTGAAGATCCAATTTCTTATTAGTTCAACTATTAGAAGCTATTCCTCATAAAAGATGAACAAGGAAAGGATTAACAGAATCGATGTCTGGAAAGACAGTGCTTGCCACAAATCAGAGCTGCAGCCACAAGAGATGTCAATAATGTTTTCAGGAGTGAACATCTCTCGTTCTTGGTGATTGTTGACAGCTTGTGACGGAAGTCAAGAGGCAGCATGCCCACATTTGAAAGAATACCATCTGTTAAAAGAAGGGACACCACCACCCCCCATGCAAAAAAGAAAAGAAATACCAACCTAACTGAAGCCAGATCTTGTGGTCATTTACATGAAAACGTGTCATACTAAAGTCAACTGGACTAAGCAATTACTGGCACTATTTACCGGGAAACAGATACAGTTAAACTGTACTTTAGTTTACTTCCAACTCTAGAGACCAGGGTCAGCCATGAAACCCACTGGGTGACGCTTGGCAAGTCACGATTGGAGTACATCATCACTGTGGGTTTAATGCAGTTCAACGCCATGTTAACTGCCATGGCTCAATGCTATGTAATCCTGGGAGTTACAGGGTGCATCAGCATTGCAGAATTCATGCATTTTGACACTACTGCCATGTCTCAATGCTATGGCATCATGGAAGTAGAAGTTTTACATGGTCTTCAGCCTTCTCCAAATCACACCTCCCAGGATTCCATAGCATTGAGCCATACCAATCAAAGTGCTGTTAAACTGCATTAATTCCACAGTGCAGATGCAGCCTCTCTCAGTCTCAGAGGAAGGCAGTGTCAAACCTCTCCTGGACAAATATTGCCAATAAAGCCCTGTAATGGGGTTGCCTTATATTGGAACAACAAAGCCCTTAAGACACACAAGAG